TAGATACATTTTTTATACGTTCAAATAGAAAAGATTCAATTCGATTTGAAAAATCAACAAAGAGTTATAAACGATAAGAAAAGCCAGGGACAATTATGTTTTTCATTATTATCTTTTTTCTTCTTTGATCTGCTACCTAGTAGTGATATTTCCCGATGAATGTATAAATGTGTGTTTGTTAGTGCATGGCGTGCGTATTATAAAGAAAAAAGAAAAAAAAATCTAATTTTAACAGTAATCTTAGTTGGACAAATTTCTTTGATAACACTCACATTTGAAGAACACAACAAAGTAAAACAAGATATAATATATGAGATGTACACGTCGAAAGAATAATACGCTGGATTCGAATGTTAAAAGAATCAAAAGAAAATTAGTTATACTAATTGCTCTCTACTAAAAAACAAATTTTAGAATCTATGCTTCAAGATCATACCATGATTCGTACAAAACAATTTCCCTAATTTTCCTCAGGAATTTTCCTGCAGCCAATAATTTCCTAAAATTTTTACTGTAGTCAATAATTTTTCAAAAATTTCCCCAAACACAAAAAAATTCCCTGCACGCGCAGATTCTGCACGTCTGCATTTCAGATTGAATTCAAATCGAACAATGTCTCGTTTGCCTGTCTTGATCACTGTGTTCGTCTTTATCTGTATTCTTACTGAAAGTGATCAATTTTTGCTCAAATCTCATTCATCAACAATTAAAACTGCTTCATTTAGTCTTCAGCATTAGTCTCTATCGAAAGCTTCAACGAACGATTAGATCGATTTATATCTGGAGAAAATTCTTCAACAATATCATCTAATATTTCTTCAAGAAATTATCGATACATCAATAGATAATCAAGTAGTTCATTTTTTTCTCAATCATTTCCAAAAACAATCAGCAGTGTGAGGTGAGAATCGGTGAGTGAAGAAGAGATATTCACTGGTCTTTATCCCATTCTTCAATTTCTGATCAAAAATATTTCTTTCTTGTTGGAACATACAAAGGTATGTTCATAAACTGCTATAGTACATAAATTCTTTGTTATTTGTTAAAGAAAAAATCTATTGCACAAAAAAATAAAGTCACTATTTTGTTCTTACAAGGCTTCTGTTGTTTGCCGTGTTCTCATTTCTTTACAAATATTGTTAAAGACCGGCTGCAATATAGTCCTTTCGAGTTCACTAAGTACTTGAAGTTCGTCATGTTCTGTGATAAAATCTGATAATCGAAATTCTTGTGATTTTAAAGCAAATGTTCGAATCTTCCGTGTATAATAGGTTGAGGAATTTCTATCTTGTTTAATTCCTAAATGATCAACAAGAACTCCTGGTGCTAATCCATATATAGTAGCAATATCATTAATGATATCAGCAATTGGATGCATATTAATCCAATTTGAATCATGATCAATATAATATTTTAATCGATTAAGCTCACGTGGTGAGCACCAGTGCCAATCAATTGCTTTTTCTTTCATTTTATCCATAATTTTATCCAATAATGGTGCCATTAAATCAGCAATAAAATTTGCTTTCTTCACGGCTAATGAATCTACTTCAAGAATAACAAGACGTGCTTCAATATTTATCATTTTAGTTTTCATTTGATGTAGATCTTTTGCGAGACTCTTGTTTACATCAGTTAATCGTGAAAATAATGTAATAATTGTTTGTCGTAATTGAGATAGAGCTGAGCTAATCATCTGGTAATCTTCAAGTTCAATATGTTTTTCTTCGACAGCTGTTGCAATTGTAGATTCAAGTACTTCAAATGCATTGTTGATAGTTGAATATGTTTCGACATCTGTTGTTGCCAATTCATCAGTGTCAAGCATATTCTTGATTTGTTTGATGCATTCATCGAAGTGCAATTGTTGCTTTTCATATGACCAATGTTCATCAAATGATTTAATATAATTTTGTAAGACAGATAAAACATTTCTTGTTTTAATGCTAGATGCTACACCTTTCTCTAAAATTAAATTGTCGAGAGCATTTGCCAAATATCGAATTGGTGAAGTAGGTGATACTGATGACATAACAATTGATACTTGAATTAATTTTTCAAACTTTACACTTGAAAAGAAAAACAAATAATTCTTGGATAAAAAAAAATGAATGTATACGAGGGGAAGTTAGCTTTATCGATCGTATAATAATAATAGTGAACATTATAATAGTCTCATGTATATATATCTATCAGTAAACAAAGAGAATGTTTTATTCGTTGAAGAAATGATCAATAAATGTACTACTGTGCTATTTACATGACAGGTGGCTAGTTATAGATGACGCTAATGTTACAGTTGAGATGAGAATTTAGTTGAGATTGGAATGCGTGAAATAATTAAAAAAGGAAAAAAACAAAAAAAAATTTCTTATGAATAAAGCATTGCTAATGTATAAGAAAAAGAATCTTTTGAAGAATTGCTTCGAAACAAATATATATTAAACCCCTTATATCACAATATATTGCCATATATAATTTTTTTTTCCATTTTAATTAAAAAATTTTTGTTTGATAATATTCACTTTGCTAAATATTCTATTTGGTTGTTAATATGCGTCATATCCTAATTAATCTTTCTTGTTTTACTTATCATTTTGGTATTAGAACGAAGTAAAACCGTTTGCTATTCTAACGGGTCATCCATAGAGGACGTCCAGGCAATGAGGGGAGGGAGAGGATCCCGAAAACTGGACGAACCTGGACAGGGGAAGGGGAGGGGTCGATTGATCCTGGACGTCCAGACAGCTATTGAAAAGCTTGTTTTTTTTTCCACAAATTTTTCAAGAAATTTTGAAGCTTAAATTATGGAAAATATCATATCTTATAATCAATTAATAAATTATAAACCTGTTATTGAAATAATTGAAGATTGTCATATATCAGTTGCAGGTTATTTATAAAGTTCGTTTTCTTTTTGACTAAACTCCCCCACAGAATAGAAGCTTGCCTCCTGGGTTAGAATTCTCAGTTGAAAATCGATGTTCACTTTATGAAAAATGAACCAAAACTGATGAAAAATGAAAGAATGAATATTTCTCTATGAAATAACGCAAAACTGGCATCGGGACATGCTTTATTACAAAGTTATAGCTTGCGGAACAGAGGCACTTCATCTGGGCTTCTATTCTGTGTGGGGTTTACTATGAATATTGAAAAAGTCTCTTTTTTCTACTTTTACTGACGGGTGATCGGAAATTTTTTGGACAAAATGTTTGTCCACTTTTGAGCCGCTACAAAGTGTTTACGATGAGCCAAAATCTATGACTCATGGACAGAATTTTGTGCTCTTTTAGAATATGGTCTTAGAAATTTTTCTTCAGTTTTTGTTCTGACGTAGTGATATAATCTTTGAAGAGCTCAAAAAAATTAGTTTGGACAAAGCTTGTGGGCCGAACTTTCCGTTGAACATATTTGTGCATGTTGGTCTGCCCGAAAGCATGTGAGTCCAACCAAAACCAGAGATCTAGATCAGAATTTTGTGCTCTTTTTAACCCTTGTAGTACCGGCCGGGGTCATTTTTGACCCCACCCTCAAAAATTTAAAAATATGCTAGAAATATTTTTCTGTTTCCCAGTTTTTAGCAGCAACTAGCATCCCTTACGAATAGATATACGTTGTTGAATCTAAAAGGGGATACATTTGTTTTCCATCTCATTACAACCTCTTGATACAATACTATATGTTCCGTATGCAACAAATATGTGATAAGAAAGGAGAAAAAAGAGGTACAAAGTGGTGGCCACTTCGTATCTTTTATGGGATGACAGATATTGCTGCTATAAACGATCTAACCATCTGGAAGACGAGAAATCTTCAATAGAATCGGAATAAAAAATATCAACGTTGATTATTTTTGGAAGAATTAGGATTGGCTTTAGTATCGCATCTGTTGGATTTTCGCTGAAAAAACTCAAAATTTTTGAACACAGATATTCAAAATGCATTAGCTATTGTCGGTTATCCTGTGACGAAGAAAAATCTACCAGAACCAAATGAAAATTCTACTCAACCAAAACGAAAACGGTGTTCAATTTGTGAATGTTCTATGGACAAGAAACCATCAACTCAATATTGTGATTGTTCTGCATTCGTTTGTAATGAGCATTCTGTTAAACGTATTTTTTGTGTTACTTGTTCTAAATAAAGGATATCATTCTAATAATTTTTCTATCAAGTAGAATATGAGAACACCATATTTCATCAAAAGATTGATCCAAAAGTAAAAAAAAATATATTATAAAAACATATTTTGTCAGCATAGTGCTTAAAAGAGGCCGGTACTACAAGGTAGTGGCGTAACCAGAGGGGGCTAGAGGGGGCTCAGCCCCCCTTACGAAGAGCTGAGCCCTCTCTACGAAAATTTCTATTGTCAATTTTAATAAGTTAAATTTTTATCATCTGAACAGTGGCGTAACCAGGGGTTGACAAAGGGGCAATTGCCCATTGAAAATTTTACTAGTAAGTTTTCGCCCATTGAAATTTTACTTGTTCACAAGCGTAAATATTTTTTTTCTTTACCTTTTGCTTTTGTCTCTTCTTATAAGACTGGTATAACGGCAAATGAACTATAGCCTAGCTTGTTCAGTTGGTCACCATGTTTCTTCTCCTAGGATAATATATTATAAGCAAAGGCAAAAAAGAAAAAAGAAAAGAACAAGTATACATGTATACAATAGTGCATTTGCAATTTTGTGGTTCTGTTTTAAAACACACCAATACTATCGTATGTTGAATAAAAAGCGACCTAACACTAATAGGTTATTCAGTGGTAATTTTTCTTCGCAGAAAGAAACATTAAAATACACTAGAACACATCTGACTCAGACTTAAAATCTGAGTTTCATGTACATTTGATTAAAAGGATCTCATGTCATTTTTTTTTGTCAATAAAAACACCTGTTCCTTTTTTGTATTAATAAAATAATCTCATTTTCATTTTTATCTCTTTTTAAAGTTATTAGTACTTCATTGGGTTGAAAAAGTTCTGCCCTGTCAATAAAAATCTTGCTCATTTTGCCCATCGTGGTTTTTCAATACAATGCAGGTTTCCCCATTGGTCCAAAGATTCTGGTTGTGCCACTGCATTTGGAGGATGAAGTATTGTATATTTTGCTTCTCTCTAACAGTGTAGAGCAAGAGAGTGAATATTCGCTTGCTCTTTGAACCTTTTCACACTTATAATAAAAAAATATGTAAGAATTAGTGTAAGACCAGAGAAGGCAGTATCTTTAAAAACATACATGTTTTTTAAAAAATGACGTTCATCAAAACATGTATAAGAAATAGAATAGCTGATGAAAGATTAAGTGATCTTTGTATTTTATCGATTGAACGTGATTTTCAAATGAATTTCGAACAAGTTATTGATCAGTTTTCAATTAGTCATAAAAATAGTAGAATTATGCTGTGGTAGTTGTATTCATTCTGATGTTCAATTTATTTTTTTTTCATAATAAAGGATTAAATATTTGAACTTCTATATTGTCTTCATGCATTGTTTCAGTAGAACTCAAGTTACCATATTTTACTTCCAGGGGTGTCCCGAAGTCGGAAAAATTGGGGGAAGAGAGGTCGATAATATAGAAAGTCGTTAAAAAAATTTTCTAAAGACGACCGAACTTTGGGGAAATACAAGCCTTTTTTTTGCAAATTGTTGAGCACAAAAACCGGAAAAAACGTCAATTTTGCCATGAAAAAACGAAAATTTTTCAAGATTGGGGGTCACAACCCTCCGCTGTGAGACATCTGTTTACTTCAAAAGAGCTGGGGGCTGAGCCCCCTCTACCAATATTTCCTGGTTACGCCACTACTACAAGGGTTAATGTATTAGAGATTGAATATGAAAATATTTGAATAGAAGGTCTTTCAGCTATTATTAATTTAAGTAAAGTAAAAAAAATTAACATTATCTTCAGCGATGAACAAATCAAAATCGATATAACAAGATTAAAGTTAGTTTGAGTCATATTCAACTAATGAGAAAAAGTTCCCTAATATAGCATACCATTTGATTCTATATTTTGGGTACAAGCAGAACTCAATGGGACTAGGAGAAGCCTAAAAAATTTCAGACCCATGACGTGTCTGGATGAAAACCTGATTATCTCAAGGATTGGAAAAAATCGATCTTTTCAGTGATTTTTTTTCAACCTTTCTTGGTTCTTTGTTTGGTTATGATCCGTCACTTTTAACATAGAATTTCTATTTAGTACTCAATTGTGAATTGTTTTCACTGGAAAAATTTGATCAATGGTCACAAATTTCTTTTCATTTTATGTTTTAAATGTCGATGTGTCTTATATTGGATCTCATTTCCAATAAGTATCATTTCCATTAACGTATTTTCTGTTCTTGTGTAATACATTATGGACTCGATTTAATAATATCTTTCTTTTCATTGATCTTTCCAGGAGAAATAATTCGAAATTGTATTGTTAAATGAAAACTCTATACTAAAAACTATCGATTGGAATCACATAAAAGACTCAAAAAATTGAGAAAATAGTGTTTTTATTCATTCTAAAATAATTCCAGTTTTTCCTTCGTAGAAATTTTTCGAAACATTCAAAAATCTACGATTTGAACAGATTCGTATATTAATAATTTCTGAATTTCATATTATTAGTGATTCATATATTATTAATTGACTTTGTCTTCTTTTTCCATTTATCGAACGACTACATGTTTCGATTGGACGGACAACTCGTCTAGATAAATCATATCTTCACATATGGATAAGACAAGAAGTGAGTACTAAATATATATAGAATTTATTTTGATTAGTTTTTGTTTATTTTAAAGTCAAAACAAAATTATTAGAATGAATGATTCATCAAAAGAAAGCAGAATATTTGTGGAATTGGTTTAATTTCAATCTTAGTAAACGTTCAGTTCTATCAAATATTATATATTTTATTTTGTCCAATCATTTGACCAATATTTTCATCTGCATATAGACTTATTCATTCTCAGTGACTGGAATAAGAACATACATTTTTGTATACATCTTAACCTTCAACAATTGAATTAATCAATGAGCTTTGTTCAATGTTTTTCAAAAAATATGATCGAACATCGATCCATTTATTTGATTACACTTTTATTTGAATATTTGCAATAATTATATACATATTTTATGATCAATGGCAATTAATCTTTGCCAACATCGTCGAAAATTGAAGATCAATCAAAATATTAGCAATTAAATGTTATCAGTCGATAGATCAATAGGAAAATTCTGGTTAGAACATATTAACTGTTAGAGTTTTGAAAAAGAATATCGGAATATTTATGAGATAAAAATCGAGCAATCTTAATTAACTTAGTTGAAATATTTCCTTGAGATGAAATTCTATTCTAAACATCAATACTTTAACGAAGAAGAGAAGAATTATCGTTCAGTTTATATTAGATTAAAACTATGCATTAACAATTGTAATCAACAGGTACCTTTGTCTACCTAGTTAAGATGTATTCTGATGATGATATAAATAATATTAAATAGACTTATTTATTTCAGATCAATGATAAATTTTATTACCCTATTAATCGTTTTTCATTCTTGTTTACCCACCAAGTCGGCTCTGTCGTAGTTGGTCATGGATGCATATATTGCTTGTTATGTGTTTGCACAATTAAACTACTCTTATATTCTAATAAAAGAAGTTGGATTGAAGATCATATATTCACTGAAGAATATCTTTAGTCTATATAAACTACCTTCTTTTCGACTTTCCAAGATAATTCGATTAATGAAATCAGACGATATAAATAGCCTTCGTAATCATTATTAAGAACATCATCAAGTACAAAATTCGATCTGCAATGCGATTTGTTGGATCTTGACGATGAGGATATGTTTTTTTTCTTCTTTATGCAAAATATGATATTGAAGCGGATAAGTAAAAGAAATACACTCTTTTCCATTCACTCTTCTTAGTACAGAAGCAAAAGTGTAATGAAAAATGTCCCTGTGAAGATTGTGTTGCAATTCTTCTCACATATGAATGGATTTTTACGGTAATTAGTTCTAATCACTTTCATTTATGGATGAATGATTTCTCGAACATGTGAGCTTGATTGAATCACGCACCAATTCTTCTACGTAATACAAGCGATTCTTCAGTAGGCGTTCTCCAGTTGATGATACCTATTTCTTCACACTAGTATGGAAATATTACCACTTCGAAAAGTTCTTTTGTTTGTGTGTCTATTAGACAAACATCGATTCGATCTTTAATAAGATTCTTCTATAATTTTTGGAATATGCTATGGCAAGTTTCCTTTCGTGCACACAAAACCTTTCTTTTGTATAAAATTCACATGGTTTTTGTATCCTTACACATAGGAAACTCTGAACGTTTTTGTACGAAATCTATATCTTTTTAGTATAGAAGACTCTTCATAGAATGCTAAAACCACTGTTGTTAATTACTGTGTAAAACAGTGTCTAACAATTCGTCTGTATAAAAAGGTGTTGTCAATATTTGTTGATTCATGGTCACTTCACCTGAATATTGACTTTGCGTTATTCACCTTTAAAGTGGAAAAAACTCACTGTTAATAGTCAACCAGGTGCGCCATTCACAATTTTCTTATTCATTCTTTTTCTACGCAAATAAAAGCAACTATTCAAGTGTCCTTTGTGCACATACATCTATTTTCCGCGAAAAATGTAAAGAAAAGACATGTGCATCAGAGGGAACGGGTGAGAGTGACGATGAGTGTGGGTATGAGTGAGATGACGGTGGGTGACTAAACCGCATTGGTAGCAGACTATTGATATATAGTGTGCAGCTTGATGAAATTGATATTTGAAGAAGACGAACAGGCATTAATGCATCTCTTTTTTGGGAAAGAAGTGATGTCCGATAATAAAGGGTGGATTTTTCTATTTTTATTTCCATCTTCTAGCGGGAGTTGACAGATAATTCAGTTTAGTATAAAATTGGTGTTGAAAAACCGGTGACCAAGTTTAAACGTAGTTTGATCCTTTTCTACAGCTAATTGGCATCACAACTTTGTATGGTCAGAGCGGCAATGCCTTTTCCCAAAACTTTAACAAAAAGAGTGTGGCTGTAGCTGTGAGTGGGGGTTCTGTTGAAAAGAAGATCTATAGCCGCACCGACACCCACACCCACACCC